CTTAGTAAATAAAAATATACTAAGATAAACTTTTGAGTCAGATATTTATGTTCTTAGTCTCTACAGTTTTTTCTTTGAATTTCTTAAGCCAACTAGAGCAACAAAAAACCAAAATCCTAAACTGCAACTAAAATCATAGATAAATAATTAAAACATTAAGATGCATTTAACATTTCTTGTGAAAAAACCTCATTTAGTATATTGCGACCCCAGCTTGTGAGCAATACTAGTAGGTCAACCGTAGTCAAATATTGCAGAACTGGACATCATCCTGGACTTATTTTATAGCAAATAAATGCTTTAGGTTAGTCAAACGTGCTGTGAAAACGCAGCATGTAGTTTTGTTTTTTGTTTTTTAAATATACCTGTGTATAGTACAACTGGTCACTGAAAATGGATAATTTTTAATCCCTCAAGAAAAATTTAGCTGTGTATAGCGCGGCCGCCTATTTTTTGTATAAAAGCTGATCATAAAAACTTGCACTATACACGGGGAAATATGGTAACTTTTTGAAATCTACTCTTTAGTTGTATTCCAGAGAAATTTCTAGTTCACCCAAGATTATCCATTTTTAATTTGTTTTTACTGTTGCTTTTTGTTTGTTTTATTTTGTTTTGTTTTTGTCTGACTGTTTTTATCAGAACACATTGGAGTCATCCGATTTGGGGCGCTATTTTGCGTTTAATGTACAGATTGGACATCTTGTCGTTCACTCCTATTTGTTGTCATGCAATTGTATTTTTTCGTTTCCTTTTTTTTTTTTTTGCATTGCAAAGAGTTGCATTTTTCTTTTCAGTTTGATTGATCTCTCTCTCTCTCTGCACAACTTCCTGCTTAATCGATGCTTTTGTCTCTTGTCTTTTTCTTGGAGAATCCATTCTTTCACATGTTGTCTTTTCACGGCCGTCGTATCGCGTTCATTGCGATATGACAATTCTTCTCAAGACTTCAATACTTTCAGATTTATAGAATTTAGTAATGCTGTCGTCTAGAGAGTTCGGTTCCTCTTCAGATTTACAAACATTCTTTAATTTAGATTGGTTTGGTTTATTTTGTTTTACGGCATATCAACCTCAATAGGTTATTTAATGCCGACAACAGTTTTAGGATAGATTCGTATGAATAAAATATGTATTCTTTGGTTTAGATTGGTTTGGTTTATTTTGTTTTACGGCATATCAACCTCAATAGGTTATTTAATGCCGACAACATTTTTAGGATAGATTCGTATGAATAGAATATGTATTCTTTGGTTTAGATTGGTTTGGTTTATTTTTGTTTTACGGCATATCAACCTCAATAGGTTATTTAATGCCGACAACATTTTTAGGATAGATTCGTATGAATAGAATATGTATTCTTTGGTTTAGATTGGTTTGGTTTATTTTGTTTTACGGTATATCAACCTCAATGGGTTATTTAATGCCGACAACATTTTTAGGATAGATTCGTATGAACAGATTATGTGTTCTTTGGTTTAGATTGGTTTGGTTTATTTTGTTTTACGGCATATCAACCTGTTATGATGTTGATTTGGGGTTAGAGACAAACGCCAAAAAGGGTTTTAATAGGTTGGTAAAAAGGTACAGAAATCGCCTTAGTAGTCAATAACTAGCTCAGCTAAGAACTTCTTTGTCTATCTGTCTTCCCCATGTCAACTGACATGCCACTATTTAAAGTCTTTGTTCACAGACGCAGACAAGTTCATCTTCAAGAGGCGTGGTAGGTTTCCGACACACCACAACCAGAATGGGTTATTTAATGCCGACAACATTTTTAAGGATAGGTTCGTATGAATATAGTATGTATTCATTGGTTTATGATTATTTTCTACCAACACGGATGTCTTTACTGATTTTTTTTTTTTACTTGATATCAAATATATTTTTATTTACAAATTGTATTATCTGTTTTTTCAGACCACCCAAGTATAGATATTAAAATAATATATATTATATATATATATATATATATATATATATATATATATATATATATATATATATATATATATATATATATATATATACGATGAGAACGAAAGTAATATATAAATTCCAACGTTCACAGCATTAATCCAAATGATTTGTCTATATGATAAAATTATAATAAATAAATATATAATAATTATAGTAATTATATATATATAATTATATATAATAATTATAATAATTACATATATATATATATATAATTATATGTAATAATTATAATAATTATATATATATATAATTATATATAATAAATTTAATAATTATATATATATATAATTATATATAATAATTATAATTTATATATATATGTATATATATATATTTTTGTCTATATGATAAAATTATATCAAATAAATAATAATTATAATAATTATATATATATATATATATATATATATATATATATATATATATATATATATATATGAAAAAATATAGTTTTACGGTGTGCTATTTTCATGGGATAAAGTGCTGAATATCAGAGATAGAACATATGTAAATATAAAAGCGAACATTAGGTCAACACTCAGGGTGACAGACTGTTTCATGCTAATCGCAATCGTCTAGCCTGATGATTGCGTTTTGCACGAAACAGTCTGTCGCCTCTGAGTGTTGACTTCAATGTTCATATATATATATATATATATATATATATATATATATATATATATGTATGTGTGTGTATGTATATATATATATATATATATATATATATATATATAATTATTTTTAGATGTATTTTTTTAATCTGATATTATTTCTACTTTATTACTCTAAACGTTATTTTTGTGGTTGACTTACGATTCCTCTTTCTTTTATTTTCTTAATACTCCTTGTCCCTTTCAAGGCTTGAATCGAACTCTTCTTCCACTAAGTATCGGTAAAATAATGGGCATTGTTATAGCAACCTGTCTAGATGGACTCCGACGGGCTGCCCGGTCCGGGACACACCTATTGCTGTTTTATGTGGTAGTCCGAGTGGGTGGGGGCGCATGTAAATAGAGTAAAAACGGCAGCAGGGTCCACACAGAGAAATAAGATTCTATTGCACCAAAGGTGGAGGAAGATGAAAAAAGTAAGTGAGATCCGCCTACCTTGTAATGAAGTTGAAATTTTACCCTTTAGCACGACTCGAATACCGACCAGTGGCCCCAGTTAAAAGTATGTAATGACTGCAGCAAACATGTCAGTTACTAAGCTTAGCCTCGATCAGAAGATTGACCTTTGCCCTCACTGCCTATCTGGAGTACTTACTGCCTACATGATTTATATTATTCGGTCTTCATCTTTGTCACCATATTTATTACAACGCTTCGGCCGTTGTACGCTCCGGCCTTCTTCAGGTGGTTGAAATGTCGAACTGAACCCTTTATTTTGCTCACTGAGGTAGACTGTTCTGGTTCCATGTGCCATGTTTTAATGGATGTCAGTTATCAGTTATCTCCTTTTAATTTCCCTCTCTAATTCTCCACTGCCTTAACTGAGTATTGAACTCACACTCTTTGGGTCCTGTCACTGGGTCTAACTAATGCCTTTATCCACTGTGCCATGTGTCCTTAAGGCGGTGGAGAACTTGGAGAGAGGAATTAACAGGAGATAACTGATAACTGACATCCATTAAAGCATGGCACGTGGGAATAGAACAGTTTACCCAGTGAGCGAAATAAAGGGTTCAGTTCGACATTCCAACCAACTAAAGAAAGCCGGGGCGTACAACGGCTGAAATGTTGTAATAAATATGGCGACAAAGATGAGAACAATAGTCCGAATAATGTAAATAGTGTACATAATACCTCATTTCAGAAATATAGACAGATACTTACTGCCTCCCTATAAAATCCTCATTCGAAATACTGTTTTTTACGAAGGTTCAAAGTATCCATCACAGACAAGGATATCATCAGCCAATAAGCAGGTTATATATGCATATAATTAATGATATATTCACCATATCTCTCTATCTATCTCTCTCTATCTCTCTCACGCACACATTCACTGCCTCCCTCCCTCCCTCATTCTCACACTCATTCAGATACAAATCTACATAGACACACACACACACATTACATACACACATGTATATAGCTCGTATATGCACATACTCATATGTGGAATGTGTGTCTGGTGTATATGTGCGTATGTATCTGCGAAATATATACAGAGAAAAAGAGAGTGCGTGTGTGCACGCGTGTGCGTGTATCTTTGTGTGAGAAAAATACAGAGAGTGGGAAAGGCGAGAGAGAGTATGTGTGCGTGTGTTTATGCGAAATATATACAAAGAGTGAGAGAGAGTGTGTGTGAGAGAAAGAGAGAGAGAGAAATATATAGTGCAAGAGGAAGAGAGAAATAATGTGTGCGTATCTGTGTGTGAGATAAATATATATATAGAGAGAGAGAGTGGGGAGACAGTGTGTGTGTGCGCTTGTTTACTTGTATGTGTGTATGTGTGTGTGCGCGTTATTAATCGTGATGTATTCAGAAAATATCGATTTGTCTTTACTGATTATGATTAAAGACGAAAATCGATCGCTGAACATTTGGCAAAGTCCCAGGCAAGACAAAAGCGATTGCCCGGATGACGAGATAGAAGCTTCACTAGGAACAAAAGCAATGGCCAACAATCACACTCACCTAAGTAAGCATTCTTCATTAAAACTCCAACGGAGACTTCGAGATAAGTGAAGGAGGAGGGCGAACAGGCCACTGGCAACGGCGGCCATTTTCATTGGCGCTCACCGTCCGCAACTTTATAGTACTCGGCTTAGACGGGTAACGCTCTTTACGTTTTTGCTCTGACAAGCTTTGCACCGTTGTTTGAAATTTTTGAAAAGGTTTTATCATATTTCTTCGTTTGCTCTTTTTTCTTTCATCTTTTCTTCTGATTCGCCTCGCCTTTTTCCCTCTTACCTTTCTTCTGTCCGCGTTTTCTTCACCTTATTTTGTTTTCCTCCTCCTCCTTCTTCTTCTTCTTCTTCTTCTTCTTCTCATTTTCCCTTTTTACCTTTATGTTCGCGTTTTCTTCGTCTTTTATCTTATTTTGTTTACCTTCTTCTTCTTCTTCTTCTTCTTCTTCTTCTTCTTCTTCTTCTTCTTCTTCTTCTTCTTCTCTTTTTCCCTCTTATACCTGTATGTTCACGTTTTCTTCTTATTTTTTTTTTCTTCTTCTTCTCTTCCTCCTCCTCTTCACCCTTTTTATTCTTTTTCCTCCTCCTCCTCTTCTTCTTCTTCTTCTACTTCTTCTTCTTCTTCTCCCCCTCTTCTTCTTCTCTTTTTCCCTCTTATACCTGTATGTTCGCGTTTTCTTCTTACTTTGTTTTTCTTCTTCTTCTTCTCTTCCTCCTCCTCTTCACCCATTTTATTCTTTTTCCTCCTCCTCTTCTTCTTCTTCTTCTTCTTCTTCTTCTCCTCCTCTTCTTCTTCTTCTCTTTTTCCCTCTTATACCTGTATGTTCGCGTTTTCTTCTTATTTTGTTTTTCTTCTTCTTCCTCTCCTCCTCCTCCTTCTGATTCTTCTTTTTCTTCTTCATATTTGTTTACATCCTTTTCTTTATCGTCTTTATTTTCTGTTCTCCATGCTTTTCCAGCATTACTTTTTTTTCTTTCTTTTTTATGACTGTTCTTCCTTCGCTTCGCTTTTATCTCCTTTCATTTTTTTTTTTGTCATTGTTTCATCTTCTTTTCTTCTTCCTGTTCTTCTTTCATCTGGTCCGAAAAAGATCATCATTAAACTGATTAACGTTCTAAATATTTCCAATATGTTTGGTGGGAAGTAAGATCTGCACGGACGCACATTTTTCGATTGTTTTCTATGCTTTTTTAGTCGATCTTCAACGGCTTTTTTATCTTAACGCAACGATGTGGCTTTGCTTTTCAAATTCTGCAGATGTGCGTCCATGTTTATCCGTTAAACACTTTGTTTTACTGTTACACGTCTGAATAAATGACGGGCGATTTATTTTTCTTGAAAATGGTTTGATTGAAATTTTTGCATATTTTCAAAATATCTATTATTTATTTATATATTATTAGATATATAAATTATAATATAAATTATTTATCATTCATCTAATATTTATTATGTAAATCTCTGTTTTCCAGATAAAATTAGTATTAACAAATCGATGTAAATAAAATGTTCAAAATATATTTATATGAGTAATATATCAGTGAGTTTCGTAGATCATGTCCCTCCCCAACTACCAGTATTTTGTTACCCTAAGCAACTTTTGCACTTTCATCATACCACTTTGTCTTTTTTCTGCCACCCATTCATCCAAACTTGCTAATTACGCGTGTCACTGTTCCACTCTGATTATTTTGTTTTTAATGTGCACTGTAAGTGTTAAACTCGCTAGGCTTTCTTTCCTCATAATATTTCCCAGAAATTTCAACTTTCACTTTTTCATTGTCAGCTGCAGTTTCTTTGTAGTTAGAGTTCTCCTTAAAATTCTCTTTAAATTCCTTAAATTTCCGTAAATTCCTTAAATTTCCTTAAAATCCTTAAATTTTCTTAAATTCTTTAAATTTCCTTAAATTCTTTAGAATTCCTTAAATTCCTTTAAATTTCTTAAATTTCCATAAATTTTCTTAAATTCTTTAAAATTCCTTAAATTTCTTTAAATTTCCTTAAAATTCACTTGCTGAGCACATGTCCATCCCTCGAGCCTTATCTGTCAGTTCAAGTCTCTTCATCTTTGGGGAAATTGTCTAGCATCCACTGCCTTATAGGAGATTAGGAGCAGTCTTCTCGTTCTTTCTGAGAACACTTTCCTATTTCTTAACACGTAGTTTCTTGGAGGTATCTTTCGCTACTTTTGTGTATCTTCGGATTTCTGTGTCACATTTTCTGCTATCCGACTACTCACCTTATAATATCTATTCACCTTATAATGTCTATTCACCTTATAATATCTACCTTTACTTTTAAAAGCCTACAGATAATAACTTATTTGGGAGGTGCTATTTCTATTATGACAACATAGTGCATCATAAATTTATATTTATAAATAAATCCAAAAGATATAGGCCATAGAAACCTACACACAAAACCTACGTGAATAAAATATTATTTTATATATGGGCTCCTTGATATTTTATAACCTTCATCTGTCTTTCAACCATTGAGTTTAAGTATTGTTTCAAATTTAACATTACTTGCAATAGTTTTTATTGCTTCCCAGAAATCTTCTTTACATAAATACTTTTCCATTCTCATATACACCTCTTTTAATGATGGATCCCAAATTTTCTATTGGTTTAATAACTCCATTAATTTAATGTTTGTGAAAATTTTTTGATAAGGTGAGCAATATTCAGCTTTACTGAATATGAAAGAGCATTACCATTCTTTAACTTAGAGCTTATTGACTGTGACCTGTTTCATTCAGATGTCTTGTCCAAGAATTTATGATAATTCTCGGTATTTATCTTGACACCGTCATCAACTTTGAAGTAACTTATTACTGCCTACAATATTAGTCCAAAATATTATTCCATCTTCCCCTGTTGTCTTCAGGTTGTGTTGATTGACTATTTCTATGAATAACCCAACTTCCCGCTCAGCCAATATGCTCAGCCAATGTAGCTTTACATTCATCAATAAAAATTACTGTTGTTGAAAAACAAATTTTCATTACAAATTGCATCATAAATTTATATTCATAAATAAATCCAAAAGATATAAGCCATAGAAACCAATATTTGATAAATATAAAACCTATGTGAATAAATTATTATTTTATACGTTCATATTGGCTTCCTAACCCTTTCAGCTCTGACCACCACTTACCGGTAGTAGAGAAAAATGACGTAATGCCCAGTCGTCGGTTTAACGCTGGGTAAACACTTGTAAATATTTTTATATCTACCGTGAAACATTACATACCAATTATTTGCGAATTTTGACTCAGGAGCTCAGGCAGAAGGGTTAAAATTGTTCAGGAACACAGAGCATAAAGGGTTAATATTCTATAAACTTTATCAGTCTTTGAATTTGTTAAATATTCCATTGTTTCGAATTTAGCGTTTCTTACAATAGGTTTTATTGCTCCCCTGAGATTTTCTTTATTTGAAAACATATACATCTCTTATAATGACGGTCCACAAGTTTTCTATTGGATTAATAATATCTGGAGAAACCGGGACTGTTTCATTAATTTAGTGTTTTTGAAATCTTTCTTGAGAAATAGTTAACATTAGAAAACATGAAAAACTTGTCTTACAGGAATCTACTCTTTAGCATAAAGTTTTCTTCTTCTTCTCCTTCTTTTTCATTTTCTCGGGGAGGGGGAGTTAATTGTACGAATGTCCAGTTACAATAATTATCTGAATTTTTCTTGAAACTATTTACCTTGAAACTATCATTTTGCATAGAACCTATCATTTTACAACCTACAATATTAACACGAAACATTACCCCACCCACCTCCTTTTTTGTCTTCCAAGTCGTACGAAAGGACCCAAACTTTATCAGAGCTGACAAGTTTATCGAATGCGGCTCTACATTTATTAATAAATTTTACATTTCAGAAATCAGTTTTCATATAATTCTTCGTCCACTATATATGTCTTTTGTGATGTCAACTGAAACAGGGTAATTTGATTTAAATTTTCCCATAACCCAAATTATAATTTCCTTAGTTGCGTTCCCATCGCCATAATAATAATTTCCTTAGTTGCGTTCCCATCACCAAAATAATAATTTCCTTAGTTTCGTTCCCATCGCCATAATAATTTCCTTAGTTGCGTTCCCATCGCTCTAGCAATAATTTTCTTATTTTCGTTCCTATCGTCATAATAATAATTTCCTTAGTTGCGTTCCCATCGCCCAAATAATTATTTCCTTAGTTTCATTCCCATTGCCATAATAATTTCCTTAGTTGCGTTCCCATCGTTCTAATAATAATTTTCTTAGTTGCGTTCCCATCGCTATAATAATAATTTCCTTAATTACGTTCCCATCGCCCTAATAATAATTTCCTTAGTTGCGTTCCCATCACCTTAATAATAATTTCCTTAGTTGCGTTCCCATCGCTCTAACAATAATTTCCTTAGTTTCGTTCCCATCGCTATAATAATAATTTCTATAGTTGCGTTCCCATCGCCCTAATAATAATTTCCTTAGTTTCGTCCCCATTGCCCTAATAATTTCCAATAATTTGAGGCCTTTGTTGGGACCCATGGCTATTTTTATATATCTGAAATTAAAATAATAATTACCAGTTGGCATATCCTCTATATAATAAATGCCAATGTCAGAGTGCCACTCTTTTACACTTTTTCAACTTTACTCTTAAAGGCCGTAGTCTAATATATATCATACCATTTTGGAATTAGGCCGAATAATTAAAAACATTCCAGGCTGGATCCAGATCTGACATTCTGAATTTTTGTATTCCCAAGTTTTCATTACTGCGTTTGTTTTCGGATTACGTCATATTGGCTTCTACTAATAAAGAGAATTAAAAGGGACACAATTCTGACTTTCAGTAGCTCATGTTCAAATAAAAAAATACTGTTCTCAAATTATAATGTTTCAAAATAAAATTGTCTGTTTTTAAAATTTACTCCTAGAGGCCTTAGTCCAAAATCTCATACCATTTTGGAATCAGGTCGACGCTGTGAGCAAATTAAGAAAAACATTCCAGGCTGGATCCGGACACGAAATCCTGAAATGTTGGATTCCCAAGTTTCCATTACTGCGTTTGTTTTCGGCGATTTTTTTACGTGATTTTTTGCGACGAAATTTTTTTGTACGATAACAATTTTTATAACTTGGAAATAAATTTTGGGAATAATCGATATTAATTGCGAAATCCAGCGAAAGTCAGCCATGAAATAAAAATAATTATTTGTACGGAAAGTAAGGACCTACATACATCAAATTATCTTTAAATTCAGTGGCGGCAGAAGAATTATCATTAAAACTATTAAAAGGTAAGCTTAGATATTAATACTATACTTAAATGCAGTGATCAATTTTTGAATTCACTGTAGTTTGTCGTTGCTTATCGCATCTACTCCTCCCTACCTATTATGATGAAGCATCGACCAAGAACCCTCCGCAGGTGCTGGCTTAAATGCCACCCGATAGAGATGCTTTAAAAGCATCTCTATCAGGAGGCATTTAAACCAAATTAAGCTAGTTACAAATATATATTTACAATAAAATGAATAACTCTTTTGTTGCATGCAAAGATAGGTACAAAATAGGCTTTGATAAATGATTACAAATAAAACAGATATTTGGATTTAAGTGGCATTACTGACTTCCTTGGGGTGATTCCGGGTAAAAAATAGACCTTATGAATTTTTTACTCGGAATCACCCCAAGGAAGTCAGTAATGCCACTAAGACACAAAGGGTTACAGAGTGTGGACGAATTAGGAACAGAAATATTAATGATGAGCAGAAAGAGAATGGAGTAATAAGGTGGACAGTAGATAGCGATTGGCATTGCATTTAAAGTTTTAGTTGGCATCGTACCAAGCAAGGCAGTAATGCCACTA